GGGTTGGGAGTGGGGAGGGCGGGGGAACAGGGTGGGATCGAGGGTGACAGGCGCCCGACGGGGCGGTGGGGCAGCGCCGCGGCTGACAAACACAGCCAGCAAGCCCTTGCTCTCCCTCCCCGCTCATCCGCGACGCGCAGCCCCGGGGCCGCCCGCGCCACAGCAGGGGCCGGCCCCCTGATGACCGCACGCAACTCCAAAAGCAGCCACTGCCAGATGGGGGCGTCCTCACGCGGCCTCCAAGACACCTTGCGAATGCCTCCCGCCGCCCACCTCCTGGGATCGATCACCAGCCGCCGGTAAAAGAAGTTGTGCAGCAGGTGCGGCATGTACATGCCGAAGCACACCGGGTCGATCAGGCACAGCGCGTGCAGGCGGCTGGGGAAGCGCTTCACGAGGCGCGACGCGACGAGGGTGCCGTAGCTGTGGCCGACGACGCAGACCTTGCGCACCCCGACCTTGTCGAGCACGGCGCGGATCTCTGACGTCATCTCATCCACGCAAGGGATGCGGGGGCTGCGCGGCGCGGGGGCGAGGGGGGGAGCGTGAGGGCGCGTGCGCAGGGAAGAGGGCGCCGGGTCGTGGAGGTGGCGGCGGCGGCGTGATGCCGTAGAGCAAGCAAGCTGTGAGCGGGCACGCTTGCAAAATAGCACGTGTGCCGACGCACGCGCGCACGCGCAAACGTGCACGCGCACGCACATGTGCGCACACCCACCCACACATACACACACGCGCACACACACACCCAGAAATACATACATACACACACACACACACATGCACGCACAACCACCGCACACACACACCCACCTGAGCCGCATGCCCATGTGGCGGATGTCCACCACGATCACCGGCCCATTCAAACGCACGATCTGCCAGATCAGCTCGAGGTAGATCACCAGGCCCCCCACCCCATGCAGGAACAGGATCGGCGCCGGCGCCGGCGGCGCCCCGCCCGCGCTGCTGCTCCGGCCGCCGCCGACGCTGCCGCGGGCGAGGGCGCTGCTGCTGTCAATGCCGCGGGTGTAGTATACGGTGGATCTGGCGGGTTGGGCGGGAGGTGGGGCGTACAGCTCACAGTTACGCATATGGCAACCAACGACATCACTTGGGCAACCAGCATCACCAAAAGCCTCCGCTTCAAGTGCCGTTCGGTTTGAAGCATCGGAACACCCACAGCCCGTCCATGCGCCCACGGCGCCGCCGATGCTGACGTCAGCAACCGCACACAACCACCCGCTGCCCCGCGGCTCAGCTTGACAGCAACCGTTCCACCCATCCCCCCACCCCCAACACACACACACACACACACACACACACACACACACACACACACACATACACACGCGCGCGCATGGCACTCACCCCAGGCTGTGGCACTGGAAGCCCATCAGACGCATCGCCGCCCAGCTGAACAGCGCGCAGCCCTCCATAACGAGGTAGAAGGCCAGGGGGCGGTAGTGCACCTTCAGGTCGTCCCACAGGTGAGACATGAACTTCACGCCCTGCGGTGATGACACACGGTGACGTCAGCGGCGCGGGCGGCACCTGCCAGACGCTCGCTGCTCGTGCGCGCGGCGGGCCTGGCCGCGGTTGGGGCCTGCATGCATCTGAACTGACATCAGCCGCCCGTCGCCGCCTGCCACCGCCGGGGGCCAGCGGCACTTTCAGCACGGCCGGCGGCTGCGGCGCGTGCCATCTACTGCAGCGCGCGCGCTGCTGAGGTGCGGGGCCCACCTGGGTGTACCCTGGCGGAAAGGTGTGCTTCCAGGCCACCTCCAACTTATCCACCATCTCCACCAGAAAGTGGGACAGCCCCGCCGCCTCCATTTCGGGCACAGTGCGATACCACATGCCTGCAGGGCAGGGTTTCAGGAGGCGTCCGGAGACGAGTGTACAGCAACGGGGCTTTCAGTTCGCTGCCATTGCCCCGCAGTCCGCCATCAGCCTGTGATCCGGGCCGGTCTGGCCGGGCGCGGCTGCAGTGCGCTGCCATTAACGTCGCGGAGGGCGCCAACCGTTTGCTGGCGAGGCGGGCACAGCCGCTGAGTCAACGCGGGTGCCTGCGCGTGCGGCACGCCGCCACAGCGCGGGGCAGTGGCGCCGCAGACGGGCGGCGCTCGCGCGTGCCTACCGCCAGGGGTCGGCGCGCCGAGGGGCCGCCGAGGGGGCGGCACGGGGGGCACCAAACGGAAACCGGCCCGCGCGCAGGGGGCCGCACCCTGCGCTGCGCGGCTAGCGCCGCTGCCGCGCGATGCGGACCCGCACCTGCTGCGCCGTCTGACGCAAGCCACCCCGGCGCACACTCGCGCAGTCCGCGAGGCCACCGGGATCCCTGCCGCAAACGGCTCAGGAGCTGTTCCTGCTCCCAAAACCCACCCGACCCACCCCACCCAGCCCCTGGCGCACCATAGGCCATCAGCTCCTCCATGTTGCCGCGCTTGATCTGGTCCCAGGGCATGCCTTGGAACCACAGCTCAAGGTAGGCCTCGAGGTTGGCCTGCCCGGGGTCACTCTCCCCCGCCTCAAGGAAGCGCCGAAACATCTCCATGGCATCCAGGCGCGCCGGCGCATGCGGCCTGCACGGCTGCTTGTTCCACTCGGCGCGGCGCGGGCGGAAGTAATGCAGGTAGAAGGCCTGCGGCGGCGGTGCGCGTGCGTACGGTGCGCGAGCGTGGATCGGGGCGGCGAGGAAGGGTGCGGCAGGGGGCGTGCATGTGCACTTGCGCGGTCCGTCCGCGCACATGATGCCAGCACCAACCCCGGAATCAGACCCGAAATGTCACTACAGAGATGCACTGCCATCCCTTTCCATCTCTCACCAGCTCGACCACCGCGGCGACAGCGCCCAGCCCGGCCAGTGCCGCCCAGTTCACTCCATTCACCGACCCCACCAGTCGCAACAAGTCCGTTGCTGCCCTCCCGAGGAGAGCGACTGCACATATCGTCACAGCAACGCAGGATGTCAGGAGCAGGGGCCCCAGTGGGGCCCCTGCCGGGCCTTGCCTTCTCGGCGTTCCCATGCCGCATGCAATGTAAGAAATTCCTATATAACCCTAGACCCTGTCGCTTTGCTCGGGCAACTCTTCCCTACGGGCTGGGTCGTTGTCGATGGGACTGTCAGCCGCGAGACCCGGTGAGAGACACCCTTGCAAAGTGCGAAGCTTGAAAACTAACCGAGCTCAAACAGTGTAAAGAGGTCCCAGCGCTCAAGCGCCTTTGGATTGGTTGGAGTCGTGGATGTAACTAGCGCGCAACATGCCCCGGGTGCTGTGATGCTAGGTTCCTGGATCCGGCTGCAGAGAGAGAAAACGCGATACGATGGATTGTGTGCAGACACGCGCACACCTCTCAAAGTGTGGCCCGCCGCTGCCGAGCGCCTGCCCAGTACCGCGGCCCAATACGGCCTGTGCAGGCAGACCGTGCTCGCCTGCTGCTGACAGCCACAAAGTCATGATGATGATCACGATTTTAACATCGCCTTGCCGCAAACTGCGGTGTTCTTTGCTTTGTTGGGCCCACGTACATCCCCTCACATGCACGATTTTCATTCTTTGAGTTGTGAATGCATTGGGTCCACGTCACGCTCCCGAGAGCTAGCCAATTTGCAGCAGCAAACAGCCACCTTATCCGCGAGGTCAAAAATCGTGGCCTGCATCTGGCTCGACACCTGCAACATCCAACCACTGTGCCAGAGGAAAAGGGTGTCCTCACCACTGGTTGCGCGCATTTCAGCTGCATGTGTGGCAAACAGTGCAGCGTCGCATCGCACCTGTGATAACTGAGTCGCAGTTCGCTGAACCAATGTGCAGGTTCAGACAATGCAAAACCTCGGTTCACAGGTGGCCAATGACTGGTAGCTGCCCCTCTATGAAAGCGCGTATACAGCACGTTTGAACAGCGCTAGAGGTGCACTTCATCCCACTGCCGATCTAGTCTGCGCTAGTCCCATTATGCTCAAGGACGGGCATGCATGAGAGCACCACCCCAAACTTGAATTGACGCCATTGCAATCGGCGCACTTACCTCTCTGGATCAGGCCTATGTGTGGCATCACTGTCCTCTTCAACTCATGTTTGGGAGAAGGACCCAGACGTGCATAATGGACGCTCCCTTTGTAGAGCAGGAGTAGAATAATGAGAACCAGCCTGTACATCGGCAGTGGGTGGTGGTGGCGTGCTGTCCATCAACCTGCAGGGGCCTGGCTTTACATGCCGAAATCACGTGCGAATTGTATTGTATCTGCTCCGAATGCATAGCTTCCTTTTTGGTGACGGGTCACTGGAGGAATGCAACGGTGTGTGAGTGTGTCAGCCAGCAGTGGGACGTCCGTCCTCGCAAGAATGCCGACCTTGGCACCACGCTCCGTTATTTTTTGAACAAACCACCTTCTGGCACCTGTGTTGCGAACTTCTCTGATCCAGACTTTGTGTGTTGTGTGTGTGCCCACCGGGGACGGAAATCTCACGACGCCCATTATAAGGAACTGAATCTTTACTCTGGCACCCCTCACTTGACCACGGGCGCGGATGTGCGCTTGGGGACCTGCTCCAGCTGCGGGAGAGCCGGGAGGCGAGGGGCACCAAGCCACCGGCCCCATGGGCGAGGTGCTCCTTGACAAGCAGAGCCAGGACGCTGACGCCATGGCGGAGAGCGAGGCGGTGAAGCGCGCGCTGGGCGTCGTCATGTTGCTCGTCCTGGGCGCCGCGGCCTACCTGGTGATGCACACCCTGCGCCTGCTGTGGCCGGCGCGCTACGCCATCGGTGCCCTCGTGGCGGCGGGGGAGGTCGCCTTCTTCGTCCTCTGGTGTCGCCGCTACACGCAGCTCAACACGCAGCCGGACGTGCACGCGCCGGCGCACGTCGACTCGATGCGCCTGTTCGACCGCTTTGTGTCGCTCTGCTACAGCCTGCCAGACGGAGTGGACCTCGAAACTTATCTCAGCGCCTGGTTCAGGTGGGCGGGGGCGGAGGCTGCTCGGGTCGCAGGGTGCGCGTCGCGGCAGGAGGGGTCCCGCGACCGGGCGCCACCAGGCGACGGCGCGAGGGTTCGCCAGGGAGTGCAGCGGCTGCGCTGCCTCGTGTGCAGACGCGTTGCCCCAACGGCCCCCCTGGGCGTGGAGTTGCATTGCGTCCAAGAGTGATGGCGGCGCCGCCTTCGCTTTAGGGAGGCAGATGCACGTGCGCAGACGTCGTGATGCGGGGTGACTGGCAGGATGCGCACTGCAGCAGGGCGGAAACAAGCCAGCATCAGTCGCAAAGCCAATTCCAGGCTGCCACAGCAGGCGCGCGTGTGCGGCTGCCCCGGCAAGCCAGCCGCTGCTCTCCACAGCCCAAGAGCACCGCAGCGGCACGCACAGGCAGCAGCCGCCGGCACTCATCTCGCCCCCCCCCCTCCCGCCGCGCGGCGCCGTTTTCGCAGGGGCGCGCGCGTGGATGAGATCATGCGCGGCAACATGGAGGAGCTGATGGCGTACGGGTGGGCGCCCGCAGGGACGAAGCGTCCGCAGCAGGGGCAAACCGGCTGCAGCCGCGCCGCCCGCGGCGCTGGCTGGGCCCGGACGCAGCTCCCACCCCCCGCCCGCCGCCGCGCTGCGCGCGTACCGCCCGACGCCAGCCGGCCAGGCCCCGCCTCACGCCCGCGCCCCGCGCCGCTGCCCGCTTGCACGCCCCTCGTGCCGGCAGGTTTTGGTACAAGTCGCGGCAGGAGATGGCGGCGGAGGGCATGGGCCACGTGCCTGGAGCCATGGTGGATGAGCTGGAAAAGGCCTTTGAGCACCAGTTCCCGGTGGGGACCCCCTGGGGCGATTGCAATTACTGTTTGTACAAGGGGGGGGGGATCGAGGGTGGGGTAGGGGCCCGAGGCTTGGGGGTGGGCGAGGCTTCGCGGCCGGCGGCGCGGCAGCGGCAGCGGCTGCAACGGTTGGGTGGGGCTCACGGGTTGGTTGCCTGGCATGACTTTACAGGGCGGCTCCTAAACGGTCGAGGTGGTGGGCAGGCGCTTTACAGACGTTGAGATCCCTTGAGCAGCGGCGGG